ACAAGGTCTCAAGTAGAGAGAGAGCCACTCAATGGTCAGCTATGTATGTATGTCAACATTCATGAAATAATCAGGAGTCAATTAGTACAAGTCTAGATAAATAAGATAATTAAGATCTGTCAAGAAAGCACTATTATGCCTTGTTAAGTGACACACACACACACACGCGCACACACACATGCACACATACATATGCATGCACACACACACACACACACACACACACACACACACACACACACACACACACACACACACACACACACACACACACATGCACACACACACACACACACGCACACACACACACACACACACACACAAACACACACACACACACGCACGCACAAACACACACACATGCACAAACACACACGCACGCACGCACACATAGGCACATGCACACACACAAACACACACGCAAGCACACACACACACGCACACACGATATATAAGTTAAGGAATGGTGAAGTTAGTATGAAAGTCTCTTAAACATTAAAGTGTTTACATAAAGACAAATAAAATGTTTGTATTTCTTACCTGAAATAATAAATTAATAATGAGCCACACACCAGGTCCTTTGTGTCTACAAAAGATATCTTTGCTGAAGCTATTCTCCATATCTGCAAAACAATAATAAAACATTTTATGATCATATCTATACAGTAAACATTGTGTACTGTACTACCAGCCACCAACTGCTGGGCCACCTATACTATACGACAATACTTTCATCAGAATCATGCAGTTCATCACCAGCTCCTGTTTCAATGTCATTTTATCCTTTATTTCATCCATCATTTCCATTACGGAAGTAACTCGGTGTAAGCAAGTTTAAAATTTTTTTTCACATACAGCACAGTACATGCAATGACCCTGTGTGTGTGTAGACACACACACACACACATATATATATATATCCAGTCAACCCTCGCTTTACGCGGTCCCACATTCCGTGTTTCCACGTTTACGCGGTACCCTGCCGAAACCGGAATGCTCACATTCCGCGGTGCGTGTACCCCTTTATGCGGAGAGCGGCTGGCGAGCCGCGCCATTTTTGGATCCAAACCTCCCGCCATCTCTCCCGCCATCCGCCATGTTGTGTAAGCGGCGTGAGTAGGTTGCACAGTGTGTGTCTTTGTTGCGTTATCAGTGACGTCATATGACGTATCGGACTGTAATTGGGCCATGCATCCTTACTTCCCTCCGCTGCTAGCTGTGATGGGTTTAAAGTAATATGACGTGTCCACCCGCGGGAGAGAGGGAGGAAAGATGACGCTTGACCTAGCCGCGGCAGTTTCATCCCTCCAGGCCACACCGTGTAAACGTGCATCCATTGTTCTGTAAAATGGCTTCCGCCGGACCACCGCCCCCAGAGAGAAACCTTTCCTTACCTGGACCCAGCCGCCCTAAGCCAAAGAAGACACGACGTTCCTTAAGCTACGAGGTGAAGTACAAGATCATCCAAGAGTTGGAGAAAGGAACAAGACAGGTTGATTTGGCGGGCCAGCATGGTGTGAACGAATCTACGATCCGGACGATAAAGAAGGATGCAGCCAAGATAAAGGAGCACATGAACATCACAAAGTCTACAGGTGCTTCTATGATCAAGTATTTCCACAACCAGGTGCTTCTCAAGACGGAAAAATTACTTGTGAGCTACTTGGTGCGTCAGGCGCGACGGAACATGGCGGTGGACACGCGCTCAGTTGAGGAGTACGCACGTGAACTGTATGCTGCAGTGTCACGAAAGATGGGAATTACAGAGCCCAAACCCTTTAATGCTTCCTCTGGGTGGTTACAGAGGTTTAAGAAGGGAAACAAGATCACCAATATCAACATTGGTGGTGAAGAAGCTAGTGCTGACCGTGTTGCGGCTAGGGAATTTCCTCCGTTTTTACATGAGATTATGGAGGAAGGACAGTACACCGACAACCAGGTGTTTAACATGGATGAATCTGGTCTTTTTTGGAAAAAACTACCTTCCAAGACCTTCGTTGTGAAGATTGCCAGCAAGTGTCGGGGCCGGAAGTTGCAGAAGGAACGCATCACCGTCCTGTTTACCACCAATGCCTCCGGTACCTGTAAGCTCAAGATATCGGTGATCCACACAGCACCCAAGCCGCACGCCTACAAGAGCATGGACATGACCAAGCTAAATGTCCACTGGGTGACCGCACGTAAGGGGTGGATGTTCTCTACACTGTCCCTCTCCTGGTTTGATGACTGTTTCGTTCCCGATGTGAAGAAATTCTGTGAGCAACAGAATGTGCCATTCAAGATTTTGTTGCTGCTGGACAACGCACCAGGACACTCGCCCCTACTGTTAGATCGTCACCCCAACGTAAAAGTGGTCTTCCTTCCTCCCAACACTACGTCTATAATACACCCCATGGACCAAGAATTGATCTGTAATATAAATGCTGCATTCTCTGCTAAAAAATTCAACCTCCTGAACGACTACACCAACACCAGGGAAGAGTTGCGTAACCTGAGTGACACCAACACCGATAGCAAGAGCAAAGACGACGAGGATCAACAGTTGGCAGAGCAAGAAGTACTTTTAAAATAATTCTGGAGAACATTCAATGTCAAGAAAGCTGTGGACTTCTTGGTGGAGGCATGGGATCAGCTGTCTGTAGCAACTGTTCGTCACGCATGGAGACATGTGTTGCAAGGCATTCCGGCCGTTAGGCAGAGTCAATCTGTGACTGGTGAGGTTCAGACTGTTGCAGTAGCAGTGGACCTTGCCAGAGAAGCTGCGCAGAGTGTTACAGCTGCAGGCTTCTCCGAGACCACCAACGACGACATCCTGGAGGTGATAAGGGATCCTGATGTGACTACCGACGACATGGTAGATGATGATGACGTCAGTGAAGAGGCAGGTGGTGCGTCATCCCAAGAAGAACGCCGCTTATCCCATAGTAATGTTAGGGGTGCCATCGAGTGTATGGAGAAAGTCAAGCTCCTCCTTTCTGACGACCCTGACGCTAACAGGTATGAAATCTTCACTACCCAGCTGTTGTAGACTATGGAGCCCTACATCAAGGTTTATCACGACAATATAAACACCAGCTGTCAGCAAAGCATAACGGAGTTCTTTGCCCGCAACCCACCACAGCCAGCCCAAGCCAGTGATAGTGACATAGGCAGAGACAGTGATGATGACTTTGAGGGACTTGTCAGGGAGGCACTAGTAAGTGTGGATGACACCGATGAAGACTCAGCTGAGGGCCAGTAGCCTGCCTCTACCTCGGAACCAGCCTCCATTCCCGTACGCCGACCCATCTCTTCTACTAACATAAGTGTTAACCCCAACCTTGTTTTTTTCTAACCTAACTTACAGTATATTATTCTCTTATTGATTGTTCCCTTCTATATTATGTGTGTGTGTGAATACCATCATAAAGTTAAGATGTTATTTTTAGTAAAACGCACGTATTGTGTCGGGAAAAAGTGGAGTTTGGGGGTCGGCCCGGTCTCTATTTCAATTAATCACATATGTTATGTTGTTCACTTAACGCGTTTCTCACTTTACGCGGGCCGCCGTGGATTCAATTAACCGCGTAAAGTGAGGGTTCACTGTACAAGCGGGTTGTATAAACAGGGCTGATGCACACTCCCGTCTTGCCTCAGACGCCTCTCTCACTCACTTGTTTTTTTTTTTGCATGAAATTTGATTTACACGACCTCTTCAAGAACGTAACCCACGTGTAAATCGAGAAGTATCTGATTACAGATGAAACATTCAAGATCCCTTGTGAGTGATGTTGAAAGCTTCAACTGTATTTACTGTTAGTGAAAATTGTCAATAAGTTTTGAGTAGAGTCTGTTGCCAGTAAAAGTGACAAATCCCAAATATCGCCCTTGGGGGATGCACGCCATGAGTTGCCAATTGCTACTGAAGTTAGATCATTTTGATTCCCAATCATCAAAGAATCTGATGTTTGTATCAAAATTATTGTCAATTGTATATTTTAAAAAGTAATTAATCTCCTGAAAAGAATGTGTCAGTCTCCTTATCTCAAGGATCTAACGACAAAACATCAGGAGGCCCTTGTCTGTATTTCTGCTGGCATACGAAGAAAGACATTACCAGTTAGTGTGTTTAACATCCATTTCACTTTTGACTGGCAAGCTCAACCTCTGATTAGATTGTAAAAATAGACGTAAGAAATTCACCTGATCCATGACACCGATTTTCATAATTAAATGTACAGCAACTGATTTAAATTAAATTTATGTAAATGTGAGTATTGCCCGTTTGACATGCCCGAGTTGCCAGTTAGCCTCGTATATAAACGAGCGTGCGAGGGACGGCGTCACTTCTTTGACGCGTCCCTCGTCGTCTCTCAGGCACAGACGTCTAAGGCAGGATGTCTTTAATTCGGCACGATTAAAACCGGGTAGTAACGCACCACAAAAACCAGGCCCAGGAGACGAGCTCTCTAGCCGTGCATTGGAATGCAACCGCCGCTAATACCGAGCTTCATTTGTTGTGGTAACACCGGTGACTGACCCTGGTGTATTAATCTCAGTTATTTGTACCAAGTTATATTGTTGTCCATGATTGGGGATAATTAGCAGAAATATAATTATCCCAAGTTGATTATTGAAACCATAACTGTTGATATTACCGGTGTTAAAGGTTGTTGTAGGTGTTGTGAGTCAATGTGTGCTCCTCGCTGAGATCTGGTACACGTTCCATCTTGTTCATTAATATCTGTGCTATTGACAAGTATGTAAAATAACCATCTTTATTGTCAAAGAAATAATATAACAGTTGTTTAATGTTGTAACAAATAATCCAAGATCTTATAAAATAAGCCCTAGTGGTCAAGTCTTGTCTGAGTGTGTTAAATTGACATCTTATTCACTCTTGCTGATAATAATATTGATCTAGTAAACTGTGAGTATCACTGCTCACACCATTCTAATAATTGCTTCTCAGAAAATAACTACTGTAACTCACATGCCTAAGCTGGAGGCTACCACACTACCTAACAGTTTGATGATACCAGTTATATTGTAATAAAAGCCTGGGTGGTGGCAGTCTACCTTGTGAGTATGATAATTATTTCAATAGGTGTTGCTTAAGAATGATATCATTTTCCCAGGTTAATCCATTGTATAGAATATAACTAAGCACTGATACACATATGGGTAAAGAATATGGAAGATATAAGAAAATAAAATAATAAGCAAACTGAAATAGAGACAGAAAAATATCTTGAATAATATAATACAGCGACATCTCCATTAGCCAGAACAATAGGCGCAGAGCTCTTCCGGGTAACGAGACGACTCTCAAAGCCAGAAAAAATAACTATCCCTGGAATTTTCTGGCTAACGGTAAAATGTTCTCGGAAGCTCCAGAAATTGCCCATTACATCATCTCTCGAACCCGGAAAACTATCCCTCATCCTCGGAATTCTCCAGAAATTTCCGGGCAACGAAAATTTTTTCTCTGAATTTCCAGAAAATGCGCCTCATTTTCATCTCTCAAACCCGGAAAACACTCCCCCATCCCCGGAATTTTCCAGGAATATCAAAAGAGGGGGGTTCAGGAAGTTCTGGGTGGGGGAACATGGCGAGCACAGACAACCTACTCAGCTGGGTTTTT